CCCTTCTAACTTCCACCTTGCTTTTGAAGCAGGGTCTCTCTCTTGTTTCTGCCATTGTTTTGCCAATGGGAGCTTCTGTCTCCACCTCCCATGCCATCTGGGTGTGCTGAGTTTACAGATGCAGCCTCTAGCTCTTTATGTGGGTTCCAGCAAAGCCTTGCCCAGCAAGCGCTTTCATCCAATGAACCATCTCGCTGGCCCCACGGTGTTAAAACCTAGGTACCAAAAACTCATACTTACTACCTATAGGATTTGGGCAAATTTGTTGACTGTGTAGAGGTTTTCTTTTATCCTTTGGAAAGCAGAGAGGGAAACCTTCATCTCATAGAATTCCTGAGATTAAATCAACTGGATTATTGTATTGTTTCATTTAACAAACTTACAAAAAAGCAAGAGGTAGTGCTTCACTCGGAGGCTGGGGTAGTAGGATTATGAGTTTGACACAATGCAACTCTGTCTGAAAAACAAACTAACAAACGAAAAAGATTCAAAATAAAACAGAAATCTGTTAAGAGACCCAGTGTGCAGCTGCCACTGGTTTGGGGTCTTGGGGTACTGGAAGACACCAGCAGAGGACATTTTGTTAGAGCCGGGTAGAGGTTCTAAGTGAAAAGGGACAGAAGCCTGATAGACATTCTGGCAAATGCAGAAATTAGAAACACACACAGCTCAGTATTTTCACCAGTGGAACACACCTGTGTACCCAGCATCCCCACGAAGAGCATTATCACCAGAGTCAGGAATCGGGTGTGGCCAGACGACCCTTCCTTCCTTTCCAAGTAAAGTTCAAGGCAGGGGTGCCCCAAACCCAGTTGTGAAGATAAACAATAATCTTAATGCAATTTTTCACTCTAGTGGTGGGAAATCAAATCCAGGCTCAGCAGACACTCTACCACTGAGGTGCGGTGCCAGTCCTTAATGCCATATTTATGAGAAATCAAAACTAATATAAGAAAAGAAAACTCGAGGATAACAAAGTATCAAGATTTTCAATAAAGATGGGATTGGTTACTGTGAGATGCTGAGTCATATAAAAGCTCAGGGCAAAGAGAAAAACACCAGGACTGCTGATTTGTTCTCTGCCTGCCTCACCCTGATTACCCAGCAGCCCCCCTCCCAGCGGAGCCCCTCCCTTCCAGACAGAACTGCTATCCAGAGCTGCTTCTGGGCTCAGGAATGTTTTGCATGTTATGTGACTATAGGCACATACTTTTGCATATGGCCCTTCATGTGACGCCTGGAAGAGTTAGCCACGTTGTCTTATGTCATGAGAAAATGCTTAAAGCAGGGAGTGACTTTTTTGAGAGACAAAGGCCATGGCAAGTGTGAATGGCTCTATCTGATGCGGGGGGAGGGGTAAGGAGTGGAGGGGAAGTCAGGGAGGCAAAAGCCACAAAATTGGCTGGACTAGGGTAATCAGGGTGAGGAGTCTGGTGGCCGTAGGTAGCTGAGTAGGGCAGTTTGGAGGGACCATCTTTGGGGTACTTGGAGGACAAAGGGTGCAGTGATGAGTCCAGTTTTAAGCATGGTGAGTGTGCACACCTGTGGGACACCCAAAACACTGTCCTGGAGGCAGCTAGACTGCCAGTTCTAGAGCTCCGCAAACAGTGGAAAAGGGTTCCTTCTGCATCCCCCCCCCCCCCAGATCGATGAATAGGTGGTGGCACTTGCAGAGGGGCACACAGAAGGATAAGGAATGGATGTCCACTGAGCTGGGAGCAGGTGTGCAAAACAGAATAAAATATTAACACAGAGAAGTGTCCTGCGTGGCCCAGCTTGCCCTCTTGGAGTTCTATACCATGCTTTCCTCCAGCACGGGAGGATTTGAGTTGCAAAACAGCCTTCGGATTAGGGGTTCCCCATCCCAGCCCCTGCCTGCGCCCTTTGCATCAGCTGCCACTGATTCAGCAAAGCCTTTTCGCCGTACCAGGGACACTTGCCTTTAAAGGCAACAGAGCCTTTTCCGGGCTGTCTTACTCACTCTTACTCGGTAGCTGTTAGGACCCGCCCCGTAAAGCACCGCCCCATTTCTAAGACTTCCCGCCCACAGGCGTGCTAGCTGACACGCATCAGGCCGGCAGCTGCCCGCATCATTCTATGCACCTGGTACCTTCCCTCCAATCCCGGGACCCTTTTTTTTTTTTTTTTTTTTTTTCCAGACTGGCTGGGGCTGGAGAAGTTTGGAAAGCAACCCAGAAAAGATTGCGTTCCTTTAAGGGCTGAAGTCAGCCTCCGGGGAACAAAGCTGCCAGTGTAGGCACAGACTAATGAAGTGAGTCTCACTAGGTTGGGGGGAGGGGCGCTGTAGGACCCCACCTCCGTCCCACATGCCCCTTTAGGAGCCTCAGGTAGGGAAGAGTTTGGAGATGCCCAGATGTCATTGGGTTCTTCTTTCTCTCTGAAACTCTCTGTGGCTCCCCACTACCCACCCAATAAATGAAGCTCTGACCTCTACCAGATGGCATCCAGGGGTTTTTGCAGCTACCTCTTCAGCCTCTTCTCCCTGTTCCCCCCGCGGCCCCCGCGCCCCCCTCGCCCCCCTCCGCCCCAATTCCTAAAAGCCAAGCACACTACAAGGAGCCACTTCTCCTGGCTTCTACCCACATCCTTCCCTC